ATAACGCGGAAACAATCCACCGCGTTATAGGAGGGATTACTGTATAAAATTACCCCCAGGTGATATTTTTTATATACCATATATAATATATATTTTTTTATATTTAAATACTAGTGCAGTCTCACGCACGCAAGTCTATGAAACTTAAGTTACCGAATAGTTCAATATCTGCAAAAATAATTATATCTTTAGAAGTGTTCTAACAGTTATAAAGAAGCAACAACAAAAATTTTAACTAATATATTGATATTTGCCTGGCCATACAACTCTATTTCGAAAAATTATTTTTAATTTTAAACTGCAGATTTTAAACCCATTAAAAATTCTATGTAGTACAATATTTTATTCTTTTAATTTTTCTGTACATTGTTTAATTTCAGAGCTATGCAAGTTCATGGTAACCATAAATTGTACTTATAATAAAATTCGTTCTTAATGGTTTATAAACGATATTTTAAACATCCCACACACTATTAAATTGACATTATTTATTTGTCTGATCCTTTGTCCTTTTACTTTATTAGATTATTGTACAGAACAAATTTTGCTGACTACTGAAAATGTAATAAGTATGTATATGTAATAAAAACATTTTCTATTCTTTTAAAATTTTATTGAACTCTGTTTTTGCTTTAGTTCTGTTTAAAATTATTTTCAAAATTGTGTTTGAGATAAATTTTTTATGAGCTTTTATAACAATAAGAATACATAAAAGTGATTGCTTATCTGTGATTATTCTATGAAGATTTTTTGTTGCATTTAGTTGGCTCATTGCACAAATGAAATCACTCTGCAGTATTTTACACACATTACCACAGATATATAAAATTACTATTTGAGTTCAAAGACTTTTATTCTTTGTGCTCATGCATAAATTTACAGCATCTTCACATATTAACATTTTATTATTTATACAAAGTCAGAAAATGCACACAATAGCACTTTACGTCTGCTATACGTACAGATACAGATATTGGATTGAGGAAAAGTTCGTTTATTGAATTATGTATCGAAAAAGATTCTCTTTTATCCACAATTATTTAGATAAACAACTGTGTGTGTATATAGAATAGAGATTTTGTTTATAAACTCAAGACTAAAGAAATAAAATATTTTTGATGTTAAAATTGCTGGATAACAGAAAATTGATCCTTAATTAACTTAATTGCCTTTCTACTTCAAAGATTCTATTTTAAGGAATAGAATCTATGAAAGAATCTTTAATAAAATTGGAAGTTTTGTTATGATTTTATTCATTAAATTTGATATTATTTTTTAGGCACTCTTATTGATTCATATTTTCAAATATTCAAATATTAAATTTATGTCTGTAATTCACAAATTCGTTAGTAATTAGTCAGGTCTTCATAAAAGTTAAAAAGTTTACTTCATTGCTTTGGAAATAGAACAGCTGGAACTGAATACATCCCTATTGCTACAAAATAAAATTTTGATTTATAAAATTATAATTAAACCAATATACGGAAGGTCTTCCAAAAGTTCTTTTGGTTGATAAAGCGGAAAAAAAATTTTTTAACTTATAAATACAGCTGATTTGGTATAATATTGCGATATTTCATTTGAAGTTTTATATCAAACAACCAAATTAGAAACAAGAAAATGGAAATTTAATGACAAAGAATTGAAGACAATTCCATTGACAATGAAGAGATTTGATTTGTCATTCCAGTTTCCAGACATAACCTTACGCCAAATATCATATGGAGGAAATACATCCTTGCCTGTGACCGTCCGGAAAAGATTTCATAGATTGCAGGCAGTACGTTTTTTTGTGTAGGACAAACCTCGTAAAGATATACCAAAATTTCCGACTGATGATGTAAGTCTCATTCTGATAAAATCCAAAATTGATTAAGAACCTAGACTCACCAAAATTTGCTCATAAAATGTGCTTAAATGACAATGATTTGCCTTCAATATTAAGCATCATCTAAGATGCATGCAGAAGTCTATACGATGGGTTCTTCGAACGTTAACTGAAACTCAAAAAAATATCGTGTGCCTTTTTCTCAATATGTTTTTAAAAACAAAAAAATGAAATTCCAAAACCTTCAATAGAGTTATAAGAAGTACTGATGTTTGGTCTAAAAATACGAACCAAGACACAAACTAACAGTGTGTGATATGAAGCCCTGAAGATTATAATCTACTCATCAAAGTCATGTAACAGAAGTCAACAAACAACAAAAATGTTAATTTATTTTAATTGAAGAAAGACTGTTTCTTCTCTAAATACTGGATAAATGGTAACTACTAAATTGTGTACTAAAACCTCCTTAGCATAAGTAGTTGAAAATCTCGATAACGCGCCAGTTCACACTGATGAAAAAGCGAAGAAGTTCATTGTGCTCTTAGGGATTGAAATAACTGGCTTAGCATTTTTTCCCTCTTCATCATGATAATGAACCAGCTAACACTGCTGTAAAAACGAATAATTTAATGGATTGAAGAAATATTCATCAAGCACCACTTTCCAGACCCTAGTGCTGTGTGATTTCTTGTTATTAATAACAAAAAAAAAATTAAATGGAAGGTTCAATAATGAGAAGATAATTAGTGCAATCAAATCTCAAAGTTTCAAATTAAAAAAAAATGATTTTGAGTACTGTTTTATATAACGGTTATTTTGACTTTAAAATGTACCTATATAAATTAATAGAAATTATGTCCAAAAAGTTATAAAGATTATAGTTATAAGATTATAATTATTTTAATGAATATTTGTTGTGGCTAATTAAGCAAACTTTTCTCAGCTTCCTCGTATTTACCTAAGTATTAAGGAAATTAATACCAATTTATTATGGCTGTTAGGGTTTTATTTGTAATATTTAATATTACATAAATAGTTTTCATAACTCAAAGTAATGAAATCAAAATGAAATACTTAAATCAATGGAATTATTTCATTATTAAAATTTAAGAAATTAATTATTTTAATCCCACTTACTTTGTATTTAAAGTTTATTTGGATTTCTTTTTGTACACAAATGCGCTTTATTAAATTTCGAATTAAGTTTCCAAAGGCAACGGCGATGTGTTTTCATTACATTCATTTATTTATTTATTAAAGCGCCTTTGAAGTGCTTAAGTATGTGCAGATTTGGGTTGAAAATGAGGACGTACGTTACGATTAACAGTTCTTGGCCCCAAAATGCAACAGAACAACAAGGCAGTCATGCATGGCAACATGTCCTGTGTGCATCTTCAATGTGCTACCAAATATTCATATTTCGGGTAAGCTATGGCATGAGCGCTTCTTAAAGTTCAATGTGCTCAAATTTTATTGCAACATTAGCAGAAATTCTATTTCCAAACAGATTCCTACATACAAGTGCATCTGGTATTTAGATATATACTAGTGTATGGTTTTGCACATTTGTGGCTTGTATCAATAGAGAATAGCTGCAACTGAATTTTTGTATTTATAGCTTTTATAGTGCAAGTTGTTGCATAGGATATTGGTTGCTTGCTCGTCCGTCTTTTTGTTCAGGCTCCTTTATGTTTCTGTTGCAGCTTTGTGACATGTTAAATTTTCAATCAGGAAAGTGGCCCAACAGCAGCACAGCTGCAACAGCTTCAGCACTGTTTCGAATAAAATAGCATTGATACATATTGATTTCCGATTAGCACGAATGTATTTTGACAGCTAAAGCAGCGATTTAGAACAGTCTCGTTTTGTCGGTATTGTCTCTGGAAATAATGGGAACAGAACTTTTATGTGCTTTCCAAGTCATATTTGTTCGGTTAAAGTAAGTTTTTCCAACTACCATTGTATGCAGAAACACAATTAAAACAACTGAAGTTAAGCATTTTCACAGTTTTTATTATACATAGTTTATGCTTTGTTCCCTTCTATATTTTTTCACATTTTTTAAGCTTTCACTTTCTTAAGTGACACTTTGTAGTTATAGTTTTAATTTCATATAATATCTTTTTTTTTATTAACCTTATCTTTCATGTTCTAATTTCTGTGCTAAGAGTTTTTGTGTTTGCTTCGCAAGTTTTTATGCCACATATATAGTAGAGTAACTTAAAGTCATTATAAGTTTTTTATTTTGTTTTAGTTTTGAGTGCACCTCAAGGAGTTGTCATGAATACTGCAAGAAAAAGTTCCAACGAACACTGTGCATAATGGAATAAATAAAATTTTTATAGAAGTTTCAGCTTACAGTGTCTCAAACACTGCCAGTTTATGTAGGATAGGTAATAAATTTTAAAAATTCTTAAAGCGAAATACGTTTTATAATATTTTTTTATATAACTTTGACACATAAGTGAAGTACTGTTGTGTTA